CTGTCTGACGCGTCTGCCTCCGCGACCCGGAAGGAGAAGCGGCGATGGAAGATGAAGATGAAGATGAAAAATGATTCTTCAGCTGCAAACCATTGGATGCAGTTGGGGAGTCGATGATCGCGTAACTTCGCCAGGAAGGAAATGTGCTGAAATCATTTCAAGGCGTTTGTCACTAAACAGCAAATGTTGGCCTTTTGATGACATTGAAGTCATACATGCAAAGAATAAATACTCCAGGGTGAAACTTGACGAAGACTAGAAGGTACTGAATAGATGACCTTCAGAATTTAAGGCAAAAAATATTTTTCACGTCACTTTAATCGCCAATACTGGAAAAATGCTTTTAATTACACTACCGGAATTTATTAATGATTTGGTAACCAAATTTTTGTTCAAAGCAAGTCAGCATTTATCGTTATTAAATAACAGCCAATAGATGTCGTATCCATAGTTTATTTCCAAAGAACTAACAGCAACATCCTTTCATAAAACATCATAGAGGTCGGCATATAGAGAGAGGAGAATCAAAATTGCCCCACCAGGGCACCACACTCTTTCCGATTTCACTTTTCATTATCACACTGAGATCACATTTTCAAGAGCACGTTTCATGTTGGAGCCGAAACACGGCGACATCGTCCATTAGGTAAGTATACAACATGAATAAACAACATCGAGGTACATCTGCTTTTGGAGAGGAATATATTTTTTATCGACGCAGTTACTGATGCCTATAGCAAAAGTGTTTCAAGGAGGTGAATACAGTTCACCTCACAAATCGCCGACGTTCTGTTTGTGCAAACGGCTCAAAGTAATAATTTCAAAAGTAATGAGTATTTGGTTGTTGTGTTGGGCTTACTGAAAACAGAACGTGGGCTTGTTCAGTTTGTTTATGTACAGAGCAAAGAGGTTGGTCAATCAGATGATTTGCAGTATCAGTGTTTCAGCCCGTCTCTCACGGACTTTCTTCAAGGTTGGGGTGAGGGTTGGCTCTGGAAGACAACGATTCCTACATCTGGCTCTGAACCTGAAAGGTCTTCCAAAGTTGGTCAACCTCTCTACCTTGAGGAAAGTCCGTAAGACATCGGATTTAACGTTAGTACTTCTTAATCTACTGATTGTCCATATTTATTGCGCCTATACAAGTAAGCCTTGTTTTGTGCTGTTTTCAGTAATCTCAGTAAGCGCTTTAAGCGAGTTGTCTAATCACTGATAACTTAATTGGAACGGTAAATGTTACGGGCAGGACAATTGTTATTTGATTTGAATGATAAAGGTAGGCATCTGATTCAGTACAGGGTCATTCTGTGTGTTTGCAACTTCACAATCGACTGTAGAATATTCATGTTTTCTAAGGCCATATGAGGCGAAACAACGAAAAAAAATTAGCATAAAAACTAGTAAATTCTACACGTAATCTGCATGAGGTATGTTCAGTTTCGTAGAGCGCCTATACTTGATCTTCTGATCTGAGGTAGCGTAGATGCGACTGTGACAGTATTTACATGTAGCTAGGCCGAACGACGTCCCGCTGCTGGACAGAGTCTCCGTGCTCTTGTCGATGTACCGTATCCTTCTGATATCACGGGGGATGAACGGGATCAGGTGATTGGTCGTGTACACGTGTCCGAAGATCAGCGAGTCCCGCGCCCCGTTGCATAGCTGCCGGCAACGGGATATCAGTTGGGTGTACCACTCGCTGACGTACACGACTTTACCACCGACGATGGCCAGCACGCTTCGGGCGTCTTGGATTTTCCGGCCGAAGTAGTGAATCTTGCGGATGTACTCGACCCCCACCAAGTCGATGCACATCGTCGTGATGACCAGTCCGAGGATGATGTACAAAAGAGTCACTGCCATATTGTCCTCCTTTTTGGGCACGAGGTCGCCAAAGCCGATCGTGGTCACGGTGATGAACGAAAAGTAGAAAGACTCGAAGTAACTCCACAGTTCCATGCTGCTGAAGAAGAATCCGCCCAACGCCGTGTATCCGACCAAAATGGCGAAGACGAGCGACGCCGGAACCGTCTTCTCCTCCGTCCCTTCTTGGACAATCTCCTTGCAGTGCTCGCAGACCAAGAACTTTTCTTCCTTGCATGTCTGTTGAGTTTTGTCTCGAAAATGCTTCTTGAGTCTAAGCTTCACTTCCAGAAATATTTTGTACTGCCACACCAGGTATTCGCTGAAAAATTTTCCAATATCCGCAATTGTAACTAACGTCAAAGGTATGCCAAATAACGCGAACCCAAGACAGACGATGCGACCCGCCTGCGTCACTGGAGCCGGATTTCCAAAGCCTAAAGATAGCCTTTAATTTGAGTCATAAGCTTCATGAAACCAATGTCAGTTTATTGCACTAAAATGCCTTCTAAGCAGGTCTTAGGACCCAGCGGTTGAAGGAACAACCATGCTTTTTGAACACGGCAGAGGGTTTCGTGATGACAAACACCATTACCATCATCAGGGGGTACGGAACTCAGTCACAAGGAACTGGTTTGATTATTTTTTGGCATCTTGTTTCTTACTGTGGAAAAGAAAAGCATATCCTCGAAGCTTACTCTTAGACTTGACCCTGATTAAGAGTGTGAAACGGTTGCACCAGACCAAAAGCGCATTACTGTCGGATTAACGTGATTGGCTCAGTAAGTTTGAGCCCGGTTGTTACTTATCCGCCATGACAGCTCCAGCATGAGTTATGTCGATATAACGCGACCGATACACCACACATCACAAATTGATAGTAAAGCCATGCATGCGATGTGCTACTAACAATGAAAGCACAGCAAGAACGAATCAGTCCGGCTCTGTCGACAAATATACTTGGAGGTACACAGACTCTACACTCAGAATTCGTTGACAAGACGGTACGTTGACAATGTAAAGTTCATATTATTCGCTATGTATTAATGGTATCTGAACAAAATTCTCTGATTCCACATTTATCCGCCAAGGAAAGCAAATCTTCTAACTACTGTGGAAATGAACCCTATGGAACCTGCGCCATGAACTGCCATGAAGTCAACTACCAACTGCTTTAGTTGTTTATCAGCTGCTTTGCGTCTTAAGAACAGCATCTTGACATTCGATTATATACAAGCAATTTGTTGCATCGAAAAGACAAGGCGTTCTGTTCGACAAAGGATACCGTAGATTCAGAATAATGTTTCAACGGTCTCGCTTCGCAGTTAATTAGTTTCCTAAAAATTAGCTTTGCATATGGATTTTTTCTCTAGGGGATCATCGACTTCTAGAAGGCTTTAGGCTCGATCTACACCCGATTGGGGTTCAGTTCCATGAGGAGCAACGAAATTGAGTTACGATGTAGAAACCTCATTGCCATGACCAAAAAGATTGCATCTGTCGGGGTGGTGCTTCAAAGAAGCACAAACAAAC